GTGTGATAGACATTAGGATAACATTTTAGAGTGAAATATAGGAATTATGAATAAAAATTAAGCATTAATTGGAAAATTAGATATTAAATGATGACATTAAATATGCATAAAATATGATTAGCAGTAAAATGCTAAAATTAATGGGTGATTAGATAATGAAAGGATATATTTTAATGTAAATATGTGTATTAACAGTAGAGGCATGGATTGGATGATTGCTAAGAACATGAATAGATGTATTTTAATTGTTTAAATGATTGTGATTGGTACTAGAAGCATACATTGAGATATTGGTTAATGAAAGAAGAATAAAATTTTAACACAAATAGATAGAAGACATAAATAAGGAAAATATGATTAAAAAGACATGTCTTTGAATATTACAATGATATGGGGGAAGAATTAAAATTAAAAGAGAGAAATAAGAGGGGAACAATAGTACATATATATTAATATATCAAGATATATGAAAGAACAAGGGGGAGGTTTAGAAAATGAAGGACAGAAGTATAAGGTATGTGTAAATAATAGGAAATAATGAAAATGAAATGTAATTGGGAGCAATAATATTATGCTTATTTGTATCAAAATACAGGTATCGCACCATTCACATATTGATATGTATAAAGAATATAAAATAAAAAACTTGACAAAAAAAGAGCAAAGCTTTCAGGAAGGTTTTGGGTAGCTTGGAAGGAAGAGCGCCTTTTACATAAACCGCTGCATTTAGTTGAAATGTGTTCTTATGGCTCAGCCAACAACAGCCTCCATGGAGCCATTTCTTTCTCTGGGGCACATGCTCTCTAAGCAACTCTACCCGCCTGGGCTGACCTGGCCGCACCTTGGCACACCGCCCAATTCCATAAGTCTCAGTGAATGGGCCGAAGAGAGAGTTCATCAGCTGTAAACTCTGGGCCACTGTGTTGATCCACCGCTGGTCCGCTTCCTGCAAGAGTAAACGGAATGTTGGAACCTTGGAACCAGGAGGGAATAGTTGACTCTTGGAAACCCAAAACTCCACTAGCACTCAAAACAGTAATCATATTAACAGTATCAGTTAAGCATCATGACCTGCAATATGACCCAACCATTGTATCACTGATATATGCAAATACTGAAATGTCATTACTAATTGGCAGTTAATAATTAAATGTGGCTTTTATTACAAAGATTTCTTTATACAAATATGTAAGGCTTATAATCTTATGTGAATATGTAATACTTTTCTTTAGAATATGTGCTCTGATAAATGTAAAAAAGTGATTTTTTTAAAAAGATCACCTTCAAGTCCTAAAGGTTGTATGTAAGAGCCACAGTGGCGCAGGTGGTTAGAATGCAGTATTGCAGGCTACTTCTGCTAACAGCTGGCAATTTGGCAGGTCGAATCTCACCAGCTCAAGGTTGACTCAGCCTTCCATCCTTCTGAGGTTGGTAAAATGAGGACCCAGATTGTTGGGGGCGAGATGCTTGACTCTTAGAGAGGGCTGTAAAAGCACTGTGAAGCAGTATATAAATCTAAGTGCTATTGCTATTTGTGTGCATGTACATGGATATAGTACGCATGCCTTTGCATCAGTGTTGACTGCAACTCCTGGGACAAGTCTTTGTAATTTTCTTCCAGGGTGAAAGTGATTTGTCCTTGCTTCCTTCTTCCTCGACTGAGAGAGCAACTGGTCCAGAGTTCCCCCGCTGGCTTTGCACATAAGGTGGAATTAGAACTCAAGTCTGCCAGTTTGTAGCCTGGTGCTTTAATCACTACACCAAACTGCCTCTCAAGGATTTACAAGGCGGGACCAAAATACAACCTCCAAGACTAGTGATACTGGTGAGACAGCAGGCAACCACCAAGACACTCATCACAGCCAGCATAAATGACTTTACTAACCAGAAAATAATCTCGGAAGAACTCGGGCAGCTCCATGCTGATGATGTCATTATCCAGAGGGAGGAGGGAGAAGGACCACTCATCCCAGGTCACATCTAGAGGGTCAGAGATATTGTTTGGATGCCTATTCTCTTATCTACCTTTCACAGCCTGAGTGAATAGCCAGAGGTTTAAGTCTAGAGGAAAGGAGACCAGCAAATCATCACCTCCCATCTATTTCCATGCCCCTTTCCCCGTACTTTTGGGTTGAACAGAGGCATCCAGCTGTGTTTGCACTGTTCTCGAGACTTACCACCATAGATCCCTTCCTCCTCCAACACCAGCTCACATGTGTAGAACTGCAGGAGAAGACAGCCAACTTCAGGTAACCATGAAAGTGCCATACTTGGAAGCCTCAAGGACCTTAAGGGCTTCATAATCTTTCCTGGCCGAGGGCCTTCTATGGCACAAATCTCATTTACCAGCTGAGGCTCAATAATCCAGGGAAGGGTGGTGTGTGGTGCCGCCTTCAAGACACAGCATTTCTAATCAGTACCACACAAGGCCTTCACCTGAAGATTGTTCCTGGAATCTCATTTTTTTTTAAATTTGGGACTTTAATAGTGCAGGTTTTAAGGCAGAGGTGGGGAACTGTCTGGCCTCTTTATGACTTGTAGACTTCAACTCCCAGAATTCCTGAACCAGCATGGGTGTTGAAGTTCACAAGTCATAAAAGGGCCATAGTTCCCCAACCCTGTTTTAAGGAAACAGAAAGGGAAACCTATCCCACCTTTCCTGGGCATCACAACAGCTTCTGAAACACACACACACACATGCCACAAAGAAGCCACACTACCAATGTCACTGGAATCCCAAGTTAAACTGACAAATTGAACTGGGCTATGTGTGTGGCAGGATAAACCAGCACAGATTGAAACATCTCTTTCCAGCAACAAATAAAGGTGGAGGAGGAAACTTTTTCCAAGTGGGATAGTGCAATGCCTCTATGTTATTCCTCATCCCTTATAAGTTTCTCCCCAAAAGCTGATGCTCTAATTTGAAGTACCCACTCAGTGGGCCAGAAGTTTTGAGGACAGGAAACTGAAACCTACTTCTGCCCCCACCCCTTAGATAATCTGCCCTGGAAAGGAAAAGGGGGATTCTGCTAGGAGGCTCACTTAAACGTGAGCTGACATGTTGACCAATACCTCTACAAAGTTCAAGCCCATGGTGACCTCCCTCACCCCCAGGCTGGGAAGCTTTTCACTGGTACACCAGGCTAACCTAACGCTTCCGGCTGCCTGCACCCTCCCCCCATGAGCCTCACCTTTTGTGGGCTGAAGATGATCTTGTACTTGCGCACCCGACCTTCTGCTTTGTCAGCATTGATCAATTCTGCAAGGAGCACCGAGTCAGCACTGAGTTCATGGAACCCTTCCACACACACACCCCAGGAGGTGCTCCCTGCCACTCACCTGCCACCAGCCGGACACTTGTGAGTCGTGGACGGAGCAGGAAGCATAACCTGGAGGAAAGGGCAGGATGCAGTCAGGGAGGCTCAGGTGGAATGCCCCTGGCTCCCCCCCAGCCCACTCACTGGTCACTGGAGCTGCGTGCTGGTTTCTTCTCCAGCTTGTAGAGCTTGTGCACATCGTGCTGCTGCATGGAGAGATGTACATTGTCGGATGCGGGAGGGAACAAAGGAGGTGCCCCCCCCATGGACCAGAATGGGATGTTAAAGCACAGATCCTTGGCCACCCCTCTTTTGCCCCCAACCACCCATCTCAGCCTATTTTCAGCCAGCTTTCCTCCCCTGCTGGCCCTCCCACAGCCATTCTCCACAGTCAATGGGTCCCTGCCTATTCGCTCAGACACCCTTTCACACCAGCCTTTGGCTGCACGGGACAATTAGGTGGCAGGCAGATGCAATGATGCTGTGGGGGCAATTGGTGATGGGTGACTGCAGGGGATGTGGGGAGGGCAGCATGTGATGCAATATATATATTTTTGTGGTATTTTGTGGATTAGCAGCCTTTAGACCCATTGGGGGAGGACACAGGTGGGTGGGTGTTAAGAGCGGCCAGGGAGGAAGGGTCTCCTCTAGGGAGCTTTGCAAAGACAGCTTGGCTTGCAGCTCAGTCAGCTCCAACGAAAGGAGGGAGGAGTGGCAAGGCTGGCACAGCTTCTGGTGTTACAGGATGGGAACACAATGAGTGAAAGAAAGATTCCTTTAGAAAGAAAGCATTTAGGTGCAAACAACTATCCCAGCCAATTACCAGGAATCACTTTTTTGCAAAATGTTTCTAGTTAATCAATAGCCTGACAAATGATAAAAAGCAAATCACTGTTTTGCCTGCCCCCCCAGACAGCGTCAAAAGCCGCTCCAGCCTTTCCCCTCCTCCCTCCTTTGGTTGGAGCTGACTGAGTTGCAAGCTTTGTCTTTGTCTTTGCAAAGCTCCCTAGAGGCGCCCCTCCCTTTCTCCCTGGTCCCTCCTGCTCCCCCTCCCCCTGGTCCTTGTGACAGATCGGGATGCTTTTGCACTAAATCTCTTTTGTATCAGACGCTGCCCCTCCCGAGGCCCTGCGATCATCCAATCATCGCTGCCCCCGCAGCATCATTGCTTCTGCCTATCACCCGATTGGCTGGGGGCTATTTGTCGTGGGCAGCCAAAGGCGGGGTCAAAGGGTGCCTGGGCGAATGGGCAGGCACGAATGGCCAGGGACCCACTGGCCATGGAGAATGGTTGGGGGAAGAAAGCTGGCTGTCAATGGGCTGGAGGCGAAGGAGGCGCGCGTCCCAGGGTGGGAGCCTAAAGGTCCCAGACCCCTCGCGGACCCACCTTCAGGATGGAGACGTTGGCGATGCGGTCCAGCGGGCTCATCAGGTCGGCCTCCAGGAAGAGGTCCTTCTTGCCGGGCAGCTGCGGAACCGAGAATCGGGTCAGGGCCGCCCCTCGCGACCCAGCCCCGCCCCGCCCCCGCCCGCGCCCACCTGCTCGAGGAGGTAGACCAGCTGGTCCCGGGCCAGACGCTTCAGCAGGCCGAAGTCCGGCAGGTCGGACGGGCCGCGGGAGGCCATGGCGGGGGCGCCCGAGCCCCTCCCGGAAGTGCGCGGTCCGCGGCTCCGGCACTTCCTCCGCGATGCTTCCGGGCTAGCGCGCGACGCCCCTGGCAGCCAGCAGCCGCCACAGGGGCTCCTCCAGCGCCGGGCAGCTCCCGCGGAGGGCGTTGGCCACGCGCGCCGCCCAGGCGAAGTACTCGCGCACGCGCTGCTCGGACCAGCCCTCGGGCACGCGCCGGTCCAGGTCGCGCAGGTTGTACAGCTTGTCGGCCAGCGCCACTAGCCGCGCCCCGGCGCTCAGCCCCGCCGCGCGCTCCACCTGCAGGCGCTTCCGCTCGGCCTGGGGCAGCGCCTTGTTGTCGGTCAGCTCCTCCACCAGGCGCCGCACCTCCAGCCCGAAGCGCTGCTCGATCTCCGCGAAGGTGGTGTCCGTATCCTCCACCGTGTCGTGCAGCAGCGCGGCCTGCGGGGCGAGGGAGGCTCAGCGCCCGCTGGGAATCCCCCCGCCGCCGCCGCCCTCCCGGTTTACCTGCAGCACCGCCACATCGGCCACGCCGGCCTCCTGCGCCAGGATCTGCGCCACGCCTGCGGGGGAGAGCGGAGGGGCAGAGTTACCCCCGGCCGCGCCGCCCGCCTCGCGCCGCCCGCCTCGCGCCGCCGCCTCACCGATGGGGTGGTTGATGTAGGGCGTCCGCTCCGGATCCTTGCGTCGCTGCCCCGAGTGCTTGCGGGCCGCGAAGTCAACGGCATCCAGCAGCCTCACCGCCTCGCTACCGTTCATGGCCGGGCGGGTTCGGTCCCGGCGGAGGGGAGCGGAGCGGAAATCCGGGCGGGCAGGGCCGGAGGTCATCGGGGTCCCCGACGCCTCTGTCCGCCGGGGGGCGCCGAGCTCCGACGTCGTGGGCTGCAGAGGGGCCTTCGGGGGCGCGCAACGGCTCGCCCGCGGCGTTTCCCCGAGGACCGTGGAAGCCCCGGGCAGTTGGGCAGAGCGAAGCGGAGGCCTTTCGCCTCCTTCCAGCCGTAGGCAAAGCCTCGCCGGAAGCGGCGCCTGCCTCACTCCGTGCCGTTTCTGCCCGGGGCCGCGGAGGAATGAAGGCTGCCCTGGGAAGAGAGAGGAGCGGCACAGGATCGCCTTCGCTCTGTTTATTTCGACTGCATCGCGCTATTGACCAGTTGTTCTCTCAGCCCACCCACCTCACACGGTTGTTGTAGGGAAAATGAGCGAAGGGCCAAAAGGTTTATTAATTTCTTTTGCACTCAAGACTGCCTCCAGGAATCTCAAGTCAAAAGGAGTTCTCCTGCGATCACCTCTTCTCTCCTGAACGGCAACCAGTGTATTTATCAGTTTCCCTGGTCACGGGATGACCACTGAAGTTTGCTGTTTCCACTTCTCTGTGTTTTTATCCACACTGGTCTTTCATAAACCAAAAGCAATCTTTGGTGTGTATGCACTCTTCCTAGAGCAGGGGTCCCCAAACTTAGCAACTTGTGGACTTGGCACTGTCACTAGTGCGCACTGACTGTTTTTGCAGCTCTTTGTCTGAAGTATAATCTGTCTTTTGCTCCCTTCCTTTGGTGCCGCCATTACTTTTCCTTGCCCCACTTTTACCCATCACATCTTCTTAGGCTTTGATGTTCTGGCAGTGCCACCCCTGGGCATCAACTCTCTGATCTTGCTACTCTTTGTCTTTTAATTGTAGCCTGTCTTGTTTCCCCTTCCTTGACTTTGGTGCTGCCACTGATTTTCCTTCTAGCTGACTGTGTATGCAGGACTTGTGACGATCAAGTTTCATTGAAAATGACCTTCTCAATATGGCCGACTTCCTGTCCGTCGTCCGCGGCGGTGCCCCAGTGCGTTTGAAAAATGACCACCCCATCATGGCCGACTTCCCGTCCGTGCTTCTTAGTCGTCCTTCCAACTTCTTTTCGCAGCGACCTTCTCGGTAAGGAGAACTTCCTGTCCGTCGTCCACGTCCGTCCCCTACCGCCTTTGGAAAAATGACCTTCCCATCATGGCGGACTTCCCGTCCGTCCTTCTAAGTCGTCCCCCAACTTCCTTTCGCGCGGACATTTTCGGCACGGTGAACTTCTTGTCCGTTCACCGTGGCTGTCCCCCCCACCCCCCGATGCCTGAGAAGAACGACCTTTCTGTGGCGGGATACTTCCCGCCCATTCTTTTTAGTCTTCCCGCCCAGTTCCTCGCACAGCGACTTTTTCGTCACTCGGGGATTTGAAGTTTATTATTCCGAATCATTAGTAATTGAAACGCCTCATGATGAAGATTAATACGGTATTACGAAAGCTCGAACCCTCTCGTGAAGGGACAGAAAAGTAAGCACAGCAGTCTCATTTTTAAAAAATAACTTTTAGGGGGCCTTTTTTGAAACGGTTTTTTCACGGCCGCCTTTCTGAGGGAAACAGGAAACAGTGCCGTCCTGTGGTGCAGGAAGGAATAACGAAGAAGCGGGGGACCCTTTTAATAGAGTTTTTTTAGGCTATTATCCCGTATCTTTATTATTGTGGGAAGTGTATTCATTTTATGACTCAAAGCTCATGATGAAAAAGGGGTGTTTCCGTTTGAAGTGAGAAAAGGCAGTACCAAGCACTGATTAGAACTGATCTTGGAATGTTTTTGGAGTGCTGGGAACTATCACATTTTGGAATGCTTTTGAAATGCTAGATACCGGATAAAGAAGTGTCTGTTACGAGCTAGGTACCATGAAAGATAATAAAATGTAACTTGTATCCTGAAAGATAGATTGTAAATCAAGCCATTTGTATACTGGGGGCGGGGGGAGTAGTAGGGGGTAGTTTTGGGTATAAGAGTAGAGCCTTTAAGCTTTGCCTTTCGTTCCTCCCACCTGCCAGGGCAGGAACCTGTTTCTGCAGAAATGCTACAATAAAGCCTTTTTCCTTGGATCAACTTTGAATCCTGGTGGTTTTTCTTAGCCACAATCTCACATTATCAATATTAATATTAATAGGACAACACGAGACCGAAAGCCGCAATAGATGAACAGAAAAAGATGTCCCAGAAAAAGATGAGGTTGTGGGCTTAGAGGGTTGGGGTTGTGAGATTGTGGCTAAGAAAAACCACCAGGATTCAAAGTTGATCCAAGGAAAAAGGTTTTATTGTAACATTTCTGCAGAAACGGGTTCCTGCCCTGGCAGGTGGGAGGAACAAAAGGCAAAGCTTAAAGGCTCTACTCTTATACCCAAAACTACCCCCTACTACTCCCCCCTCCCAGTATACAAATGGCTTGATTTACAATCTATCTTTCAGGATACAAGTTACATTTTATTATCTTTCATGGTACCTAGCTGTAACAGATACTTCCTTATCCGGTATCTAGCATTTCAAAGGCATTCCAAAATGTGTGATATCTCCCAGTGCTTCAAAAACATTCCAAGATCAGTCAACATTCTAATCAGTGTTTGATACTGCATTTCCTTACTTCAAAGGAAACATCCCTTTTTCATCATGAGCTTTGAGTCATAAAATGAATACACTTCCCACAATCCCCCGTTCTTGTTCCATCTTTGACTCAAACTCACATTAATTTGTTCAAGATACATGGACCAAAGGTGAAGATTAATAATAACAAAATTAAGGATCCTATTAGAGTGGAGATTAGGGTGGTCATCCCTTTCTCTTTTTCTTTGGTTCAGTCCTTCCCTCAGTTTTTTCATGGAGTCCTGTACTATCCCAGAATGATCTGTATCAGATCACCTTTGAACAGAGGGTCCCACCAGATGTGTCCCGTAGACACACAACTCCAGGCTGCACAATAAAACTGATCAGCCCCTCCACAAGTCTTTTTGTAGCTTCTTTCAGTTTTATGTCCAGGGCAGACGTAAAAATGATGTTTCTTTATGAACGTGTCATCGGTGGTGGACAAGAGGACCCTTCCCAAATCAAATTGCAGTTCTGGAAACCAAGTATTGGGAGGCCTCTTTCCGCTAGTCCAATTGACTATATCTGAATGGGAATCAAGTACAACCCAAGTAACATTCTGGGGTTGATGTGAATCCTCGCTTCCCCAGGAAGTTCCCAGTCCTAGTCCTAGAATAAAGACAATTAGCTCAGTCCAGGGTTCAGACTTCATCTTTTCAAAGTGAGCTTCAGCGGCTGACCATCCACTGGAACTGCCCTCCAAGGTTTCTCAGGTTCCGGTGCCTTCTTGACTCTGCTGTAATGCGTCCAGTGCGAACTGCAGATTCAGTTGTCAACAGCACCTGGTATGGGCCTTCCCAGCTAGGCTGCAGCTTCTCGCCTTTCCAAGTCTTTGTCAGAACCCAATCTCCAGTCTCAAAGGGATGTTGGCTCCCAGCAAGAGGTGGTCGTTGCACCAACAGTCTCTGTTTATACAGAAAAAGCAAAAAAACCTGGACAGTATCTGCAAATATTTTCTCAAAAACAAGTCTTTAAATTCAGGAATTGGATTCCCTATTTTCGCCAAGTAGGGTCGCCCCAGTAGCATCTCGAATGGAGAGACTCCAGTGTCTTTCCTTGGACATGTTCTGATTCTGAGCAGTGCCAAAGATAAGTTCACAAGCAAGTATAGCCCACTAGAGGTTGCCCTCCCTCATGTACCTTTTCCAGAATTCCCCTCATTGCATTCACAGAGACCACCCTCACCCCCCTCTGAGGTTCTCCACCCATCCTCAGTTAATGTACACTCTTCTCTTTCCAAATCATCTTTCTCTTTTCCTTCAGGTTTCCATTCCTCATCCTCTTCCACTTCTAGCAAGGGAATTGATACCATCACCAGCTCTATCTCCCCTGCAGCTTCTTTTAATGCAAAACCTTGAAGTTTCTCATGATACCCTGCTCGTATGAAGCTAAATAGGAAACAATAATAATAACATATGCATTGTGTCTAAAGGATGAGTGGAGGAAGATAAAGAATAATATATTCTATACTATAGATATTATCTCTGTATGTACACAAGAAAATAAAATAGTCAGATTCAACTGCCCATATTGGAAGGTCCCATTGCTTCATCATTGGAGATAAGACAATGGTGATTATGTTTTCAATACTGTCTTTTGGTCCCCACCCCCTTTTTTTCTGTTTCCCCCCTGCTTGGATGGATGAATGCTTGTGATTTATTTATGGCTCTGTGATCCTGTACTAAACCCCCGGATGCAAACTGTGAATATTGTCTCCTAGGCGTTGCAATTTGCTTGCATTTTTGAAAATAACTGTTATAACTTCCCTCCTTTTCCCTTCTCACATTGCTTTCGTTGGGGTTGTCATCTTGATTATGTATTTCTTCTACTTGGTTTTGTTCTGGTTATTTATTTATTTTTTAGTTCCTTGATATGCAGCCAGGCTGGCTTTTGAGAAATAAATGATATATCTATATCTATATATGCATATATTTTCTGGATGTTACTTGGTTGTTCTCCTTCTTCCTCTTCTCTTTTGGGATTATGTCATATGTGAGTCATGTTTTTCCACCAAAGTATGGCATAACTTTCTTTCTCAAAGCCTGATCAACAAAGATTGGTTTTCCCTTTCTCAGGTCTCCCCTGGTGGCTTTAAATTTTGCTGAGGGATGCTAGTAAGTAAATATCCTTTGAACCTCATGGTTGTATTTTGTGCAAAGAATTAAAAATAAAAACTAGAGGGACATAATTTGCTTCTGGAAATCATTTGTCCTCTATCGGTAAGATTTAGAGCTTATTTAGGAGACCGATAATAATTTTCTCCTTATTACCTTTGAGCTCATCCTACCAATTCCTGCAAGGAGGGATAAGCTGAGAAAGAGTGTCTGCACCCTGAATCCTGCAATTAACCCACTTAGTTTTAAGATGAGGTTCCCAACATAGCTCAGATCTGCTATATGTCTTTTGGGGTTGCCCCAAAGGTGCTTTTTGGAACGGCAACTGGATTTTCTGATTTTTTTCCGAGAAGA